TTCAGCTACTTGGAAGGTTGAGGCAGAAGGATCCCCGGAGTCCAGCAGGTCGAGGCTGTGGTGGCTGGGAGTATGCCACTGCCCTCCAGTCTGGGCAACGGAGTGAGACTTCACCTCAAAAAATAAAATAAAATAAAATAAATTAAAAAGTGTGTGCCTTGCACTACCAGGTGGAAATGTTGATTTCTTTAAAAAAGAAAAAAAAAGGCAAATAAACCAGAAATTGTTTGCTTATCCTAATAATTTGTCTTTCTATTATTATGTTGTTAGTTGATTTGACAAAAATTACAAGATGAGTACAGATTCCTATATTCAATAAGGATCAGACAGCGTTTCTTTTGGCAAAAATTCATTTGTTTGTTTTTGTTTGCTTTTGAGTCAGAGTCTCACTCGGTCATCCAGGTTGGAGTGCAGTGGCATTATCACGGTCACCGCAGCCTCCACTTGCTGGGCTCAGGTGATCCTTCCAACTCAGCCTTCCAAGTAGCTGGAACTACAGGCATGGGCCAAAATGCCCAGCTAATTTTTTGATTTATTGTACAGATGCGGTATCACCAAGTTGCCCAGGCTGGTCTAGAACCTCTGGACTCTGGCAATCCTCTCTCCTCTGCCTCCCAAAGTGCTGGGATTACAACTGTGAGTCACTGCTTCCGGCTCTTTTGGCAAAAATTTATAGTCTAAAATAATCACAGCATAATACTCTGACTTTCATTAGTTGTGTCATCACTGTTACTTCTTGAGTTGGTGAAATTCTTTTTTTTTTTTTGGAAATGGGGTCTCACACCGTGGCCCCAGGCTGGAGTTCAGTGGCATGATCCTTCCCCCTCAACCCAAGTAGCTGGGACTACAGGGGTGAGCCAATTGCATATGGCCGAAATTATTCATTTTATAAGGTTAAACATTAAGACACAGCCGGGCACAGTGGCTCATGTCTGTAATCTCAGCACTTTGGGAGGTGGAGGCGAGAGGCTTGCCAGAACTCACAGGTTCAAGACAAGCCTGGGCAACATGGTGAGATCTCGTCTCTACAATAAATCAAAAACTTAGCTGGGTGTGGTGGCGCAAGCCTGTAGTTCCAGCTACTTGAAAAGCTGAAGCAGAAGGATCGCTGGAGCCCAGCAGGTCAGGGCTGAGGTGACTGTGAGCATGCCACTGCACTCCAGCCTGGGCAACACGGTGAGACTCCAACTACAAAAAAAAAAGAAAAGAAAAGAAAAATAAAACAGTATATTTAACATTCTCACATCCTTCTGTTCACTGGTAGATTCTTTTGTGTAACTAATAAACAGGTTTCTAACCCACTATTTTAACTATTAATATTCCTAGAGATTTCCAAATGCCAGAAGTAATATTTGTTTGGATAGGAAATTGATGTTAAGCTTATGTAAGTCTTGTATTTAGAAGTAGTAGAAATCCATTTTCAGTTCGAATTAGCTATGCTGTAAAAGTTCTTTTTTTTTTGAATTGGAGTCTTACTCTGTCACCCAGGTTGGAGTGCAGTGGCATGCTCATGGACACTGCAACCTCAACATCCTGGGCTCAGGTGATCCTTCTGCCTCAGCTTCCAAGTAGCTGGAACCACAGGCATGCGCCTCCACGCCTGGCTAATTTTTTGATTTATTGTAGAGACGAGATCTTACCAAGCTGCCAGGCTGGTCTTGAACCCGTGGGCTCAGGCAATCCTCTCTCCTCTGCTTCCCAAAGTTCTGGGATTATAGGCATGAGCCACCACGCCCAGATGATACTCCACTTTTCTAATGAGCTTCTGTGTGATGCCATTGCTGCTGGTTTTGACACTACTTGAAATAGCAAGAATGTTGTGCCCTCTTTCTCCTTTCTGGAAACCAATTCTTTCTATTGGGAAACTCGTTTTATGTGGTAAGAAACATGACCCAGGTATCGACCAATCATGATCTCCCTTAAGTGATTGGGGCCTCTAGATGTTATTTCATCTGGGAGTTTTCACAGCTGGGGTCATCCTTCCTGTTCCATCTAGTATGAAAAAATAAGACCAAGATATAAAGGGTATGTGAGCAGAGATGCAAACAGGAGTGTGTCCTCAAGAGTGTCATTTGGATGTCTAGATCCAGATGTTTTTAATGTATTTCATCCTTAGAATGACTAGTTAATACGTTCAGTTTTTCACTTAAGCTCGACTGAGTTTCTCCCTCTACAGCACTCAATCAGAAGTCCTGGTAAACATACCAAGTTCAGCCATTCAACAGATATATTAATGACAAAGGGAGTTTGATGAGTATAGTTCATGCAAAAGTGCAGCAAGATAACCCACGACCTTACATAACCTAACAAATGCTGAACTCAAAGTCCGAAAAGTATTTTGTTAGAAGCAATATTGTGAAATGCTTATGTACTGATTTAAAGCATTATTTCCACACTTGAAAGATGTATCAACTCATACCTTCAGTGATGGAAATGACCTTGGAGAGCTACTTTTCCATTTGTAGATGAGGCATCAACATGCACATTTGCTCAATGCCACACCTGATGTTACAGAGCCTCCCTTTTCATCCCCTAACAATTCCTTCTTCCATATTGTCATATATTAAGGATATAAAAGGCACTCTATATTGTTGGCTTAGTGGAGTGAAAGGATGACAGTACCTTTGTAAAACCAAGTAAATAACTATACACAAAATACATGTCTATATGTCTCTTTGTAACATACCTTATATGTAAATATACATTTGGAAATATTGGCAAGTCATACAGTGAGACACGTACAACCTGGTAACTCATGCATGAATGCATAAATACCAATAGAAGAAAAATTCTAAATGTGATTCCAAAATGAATTCAGAGGCTATCAATTATAAAATTCAGAAATTGCTGGGCTCGGTGGCTTTGGGAAGCTGAGGTGAGTGGATTGCCTGAGCCCACGGGTTTGAGACCCACCTGGGCAGCTTGGCGAGACCTCATCTCTACAATAAATAAAAAAAAAAATCAGCCGGGAATGGTAGCACGTGCCTGTAATTCCAGCTACTCGGAAGGCTGAGGCGGAAGGATCGCCCGAGCCTAGCAGTTTGAGGCTGCAAAGGCCGGGAGCGGCCACCGCACTCTAGTCTGGGTGACAATGAGACTCCGACTCAAAAATAAATAAATAAATAAATAAATTTCAGAAATTAAAAAAAATTGTTTTTCTTAGAATTAATGTAACTTTTACAATTGTCCTCTTGAAATGCCAGTAACTTGGACAAGTCAGTGAGAGGGAATTGGTACCTAAAAGTGAAATTACTTAACCTGGCTAAGCTTTATTCCTATCTAAGACTGAAATTTATACCTTTTAAGTTTTATAAGAAGCATCCATAACTTAATGAGTTAGCAAGTAAAACAATTATTAGTATTAAAAATTCCTTTAAGCCTTCAATAATTTTCTTTAGTACTGATCGAGAAATGATTCTTATCCAGAAAGGCTTAAGAGATAGAGATTAACTGTAGTGTCTGCATGTATGGTGAGATACTGATTTAATCAAGATTCAAATAAATCTCCAAACAGTTTTACAAAAAAGAAAAAAAAAAAACAAAACACTTTATTTTTCACAAGGAAGAGCAATAGGAAAAACTAAATCATTTCCCACATATTGTTTTCTTAAAACAGAGCCTACAAGGACATATTCAGCACCAAATAAAAAAGGAAAAAAAAAAAAAGAGAGAAATTACAAACAGCCATAGAATATAAAGCAAACATTTAATATTGCACTTTGTTTTGCTAACATTTTGGATTTTACTTTTCCTAATTGAAAAATTAGGAATCCATCTTGAATACTGGAATACAACTGTGAACCTCAACAACTTGTCAGGAATTGACCAATATTTTTAAAAGTAATGCCTCTAAATAAGAGAGTAAAGAAATACCTTAATGGAGAAAATAAAACTTTATTTGATAAAGTTTTATAAATTTAGAGTTTTATCACATTTTGTGACCCAGTGCCAATTACAGAATATTGGTCATTCTTGCTTCATGTATCATTCATAGAGTGTATGGTGACAAGTATTCCAATGCTATGCATATCAGCAATTGTTCCCTAGTCAGTTAGACATAAGAAAAAAAAGGGGTATTCTGACAATCCCCCCCCCAACAAAAATAAAACCACCAAATGCCCTTTATGCCAAATATCCCATTAGCTTCTTTTGAGGGGGACATTCACAAAATGATTTAACAATAAAAAAATATTTCACCCCATTTCCTTATTATCTAGTATTAGTTTGCTACGGGAGCCCAAACCCTTTAACTGAATCACTTAAAACGCGATTCATTTTTACACTGGGCTTTCTTCACCCTGTCAGCATTTTTCAAACATGAATTGTCTTCCATGTTTTCTTAAAGGCCACTTATGGAAAAGCCTATTTGTTTTGTATGAAGCTTTAAGACAGTATTGAATCAGGTCAAGCACCAAGCCAGAGTTACTATTATTTCCAGCCACTCTAACAGCTGTGGGGTTAGATGGCAGGATAGATGGAACACCCACTTCACACGTATGTTGCAACATCAGAGATGCTGGTTTTGTTAGAACATTAGAGCTGAATTCCTTCTCCAATCTGGAAAACGCTGAAATGTTATCATGAATGCTGGTATATTTATTATGAGCTGATTGTAAATTATCTTTAATATAAATGATAATTTACCCATGTGATTGTTCTTCCTATCTTATCGATACATATATGTGTGTGTGTGTGTGTGTGTGTGTATATATATATATGTATATGTATATATATATATATATATATATATATAAAATCAAAGTTGAGTAATTTCTCAAGTTTAACAAACTGTTCTTTAGGTAATGGAAAAAAGTATTTTCATTTAAAAAAATTCGCAAAATTACAAAACAATTGTCACAGCAAACTTTCCAGCATTTGTGATGGTAAAGGTCTGTACTTTTGAGTAAACTTGGGTCTTCATGCTAAGTTTCGTGCTAAGCTTGAGCAAGACAGCAAAAGGATACATTGAGCTCTCTGGTCATAGCCTCAATGTATGCATTTCTGCTCATGAAAACACTGTGCACCAGCAAAAACGATTTCCAACATATGTGTTTTGGAGGTAATTAAGTAACTCTATAAAAATAAATCCTACTTTCTCCAGTGACTGGAAAACTTCCATACTTTTAAAATAATAATACAAATAATGATAATGTCTAAGAGCAACAGCCCTTAACTCTTTGCTGGTGCCTGCCGTACTGCCTCTCTTGACTCCATTCTCAGCTCTGCTAGTTTCTCCTTGTGTGTAATGATAAAAAGGGAACGTGGGTGGGTTATCACTTTTGTGTATGTCCCGTTTCCAAATTTCCCTCTCCAAAAAGCCAACCAAATAAACAACAACAACAAAATAACTCAACAGTGCAACAAAACACAAATAGCATTCCAACAGTTTGGCAAGTGATGCGTTCACCTGAGATTAAGTGATTTTAGGCAGTCAGTAACAAAATGCTGCTTTGCTGTAATAGTAGAAAGGCAACAAATTCCTAAAGAAACCAGAAGGTCGACATCTCGACAAAGTCTCTTATTAGCTTCCTCCTCTCATCATTTTCCCCATATTATCTGTTGCGTATCTACTACAGTAGGCTGCAAAACATACAGCAAAAGGATTGGCTTGAAGGCATTTGATGTTTGTAAATAAATCCACAACAGGATCCAAGCTGAAGAGGTGATACGTGGTCAGCCTAGCAGGACGATTCTGAGCATGTGCATACGCAGGTAAGTCCAGGTTATATTAAATAAAAAAAAAAGTCAGTGCGTTTTTCTCATGTTAAAGTTTTTCAAAGCTTTCTTTTGTTCCTTGTTGTGCTGACCACAAACAAGTTTTAAAAGAGTATCAAGAGTCTGGCAAAAATGGAAAAAAAAAGCTGTAGTGACATCGAACCGCACAATGTAAGCATTGAGCATGTGCAAAATTTCAAATCAGAAGAAGGAAATTATCCCTCTTTACGACACGGTGTCTCGACACTTATGACCATAGGCTAAGAAGACTGCTCATAGTATGTGCCAGTTTTAAAGGAGAAAAGCTTAGGTCTTCAAGCATGTTGGAGCAGTCCCAGAAGGTTGCTGTAGGCTTCTAAAGCATGATCTCTGGTTGTTCCATGTGTTTGCCATTTTTCTGGGCAAAAGCGATTCCACTTCCTCTGAAATCGTGTCTCCAAGATACTTCTCTGTCCTCAGCCGGAAGAGACACAGTTCGGAACCCACATCAACTTGAGTCAACCAAGCATTCCTTCAACGAGAGGGGCAGGATGGTCTATCATCTGCTGACTGATCAGGATTTGGATCAATCTAGAAAAACAAAACATTTTCAGATTATTTGATGAAGTCTAGGAAGAATACAGCAGATGACTATGATTTCTGAACATCAGTCAAGTAATGGAATCAGAAAGAGCACACACACATCTCCTGTTAGCAAGTTACATTCAATTATCCTTTTATACCTGAAACTGTGTGTGTGTGTATAGGGGGGGCTGTTGCTATCATCTATAAATAAAAATTAGCTGAGTGTGGTGGCGCGTACCTGAAGTTCCGGCTACTTGGAAGGCTGAGTGCCAGGCATGGTGGCTCAAGCTTGTCATCCCAGCAATTTGGGAGGCCAAGGTGAGAGGATTGCCTGAGTCCAGGGATTCGAGACCAGCCTGGGTAACCTGGCAAGACCCTGTCTCTACAATAAATAAAAAAATTAGCCAGGCGTGGTGGTGCGTGCCTGTAGTTCTAGCTACTTGGAAAGCTGAGGCAGGAGGACCGCCTGAGCCCAGCAGGTAGAGGCTGCGGTGGCTGGGAGCGTGCCACTGCACTCTAGCCTGGGCGACAGGGACTCCAACTCAAAAAAAAAAAAAAAAACAAAGAAAAAGAAAAGAAAAGAAAAAGAGGCAGAATTTTATGACAAACTGCTTAAAGGTGCTTTAACTACTTAGATTGCCGTTCTTTTAAAATGCTTCCTTAGACATCCAGGAAGCCAGGAAGCCTCAATCAAGCCAGAAATAACTGACTTAATAAACAAGACCAGAAATGTTGAAATAAAATAGATAATACCAAAATCTGTAACAAATGGCAGAACATCTTAAGCACCTAATAGAGCATTTTATGAATTGGAAAAGGGGCTAGGAAAAGTTATATCTAATCAGGAATTTGCAAGAAAAGATTCTGAATATCTTACCATCAATGAATGAAGAGGACATCATATCAACTCTTCTAGTTATGTATTAAGAAAACTTTGGTGAGGAGTAAAACAATGCCCTCTGTCTAATTTGGGAGTAGTATTTCATTGCAAAATAGCTATGTAAATGACAGTAACCAAAAGAAAAAGTCAATTCTAGTAGTTTAAAAAATTATTTTGGTATCGAGGCCAATTTCAACAACATGTACTGTGGGCTCAAGTCACCCTGAAATACCCTGATATTGCTGGATCCACCCTACCCTATCTTCACACTCGCTCTTCTTCCTGCCTGAGGATTACTCACTCTTCAAAATTCAGTCCAACAGTCACCTCAAGAAGTCCCATGTGACTCCCTAGACCAGGAAGTAGCTCCTCAAATGAGTTGTGCATTTCTATCACACTGTTACACAATATTTTGCTTCTTAGTTTGTCTTTCACACCAGTCTGTGAGCTTCTCCTATGTCCAGCCACGCTTCATTCATATCAAGTGCTTAGCTGCCATCAGTACTAGACAAATGAAACAGTCTAGCAGTGTGGGAATGCGATTAAAGATGTTACTGCAAATATGTCATTTCCCCCATGACTGAGAATGTTAAAATATACAAAAGAATTGGAAAAGAGTAAGATAAATTCTAGCTATTGAATCAGCTTGCAAAATGCCAGTTCTTTCTATCAATGCATGAATAAAATTCTTCTTTCAAAAAATGTATCAATGCATGAATAAAATTCTTTCCTCAAAAAAATGTATCAGTGCAAATAATTCAAATTGAGGTTATATCATTAATTCCTCAATAACATAAGTGAACAGTTTTACTTCTGTGTCAAACTTAGTAAATACTAACAACTCTAATCTAAACCTTAAATCTGTTGTTCTAAATTGTTCTTCTGTTATTACCACAAAAGTCAAGACCTAACTATATTTAAAAAGATTAAGTTTGGGCCGGGCTCAAAGGTTCAGCCTGTAATCAAAACACTTTGGGAGACCAAGGTGAGTGGATTGCCTGAGCCTGAGTGTCCGAGACCAGCCCGGGCAACTTGGCTGTCCTTACAATAAATTAAAAAAATTAGCCAAGCATGGTAGTGCATGCCTGTAGTTCCAGCTACTTGGAAGGCTGAGGCGGAAGGATCGCCGGAGCCCAGCAGGTCAACGCTGGGGTGGCCGTGAGTGTGCCATTGCACTCCAGCCTGGGCAACAGAGTGAGACTCCAACACACAAACACACACACAAATTAAGTCTGCAACGCTGCTTTCCAAGTGAGCCGGTCCATTTCATCTGTGAAGTGCTTACCTCTGAATAAAGAGGCGGAGGCAGGAACCGAAACTCCTGGATATATGCGAACAGTGGTCCTTGAAGCGCTCTCTCAAAATCATCACAAGCACTCCCAGGTGCGAGGTTGCTCCGCCTTTGCTCCTCTGTGACTACTTCTGCATAGCTGGGTGGTGCTGAAGGAGAAAGATACACGCAATTCGAACAGCATGTTCTTATGCATGTCAAAATACACAGAATAGTCCGTATTAAAAAAGGAAGGCCAAGGTAAAGTAGTAATAATTTGTTCGGTCATTAAAACTAGGAAAACACACAATCAAAATTTAACACTGGGGCCACATCTACTTTCTTCAGGGAAAGATTAAGTTTATCTAGGGTCACAAAACATCAGAAGCAAAATAGTTTTCTTGATAATAGTAAGAGATTAAGCTCAGATATGCATTATCCAATTACCTTCAGGTCTTTCAGGAAGGGATAAGCCAAGCCAATTCATGTTCATGCTACACTGACTGCTTACACTTGAAGTTCTGCTACCAAATGGATGTAGAGGAATGGTACCAATGACGAGTGGCAAATTAAGAAATAAATCCATAGCTCCAGGAATATCCACATATACCTAAACAATGAAAGAGATCTTGAGTACAGAATGCCAAGGATGACTTTCTTTTTAAATGCTAATGACCCAATTTTAATGTTGTCTGCAGCCTCTATTTACTTCATTTTTAACTTACATACATGAGGGAAGTTTCTCTTTATGTACAATACTGTGTAGTACATTTACATATAAGATAGAATTATAACTCAAACTATAAAGAGTTATGTATTTTGTATATGCCACTATATATGGAATATAAAAGCCAGATCCTAGATGTAAGACAAAATGATTTCCTCTTAACTTTAAAAAGAAAACCTCTTAAATCTATACATACCATTAGTGAATACTCCACACGGATTATACTACAGTCGAGGATAGAGGGAGAAACTGGTGGAATTTTCAGCAACTTTCCATTCCATGTCTCTGTCTTTCCAGATGATAAGGATTCCCCACGCAAGTTCGCCACAAGCTGTTTAACCTCCTTCATTTTCCCTTTGGCATAGAAGGCCTGTGTTTGGTAAATGGCTGCCTTTGGCACCACCATTCGGGAAGAGCAATTTTCAATCTCAGCAAATATCTGAATTGATTCACCTAGAGAGGGGGAAATATATATACATGTATCTCTGCTGTTTACAAAACACAAACGTAGAGTCTTAAAACTAAAGCTCAATTAACTACAAGGATGAAAAGCTGTCTTAGGAGTTGCAAGTTGCTTAAGAGTCATAAAAAGGAACTAGTCATTTACAGTAGCCATTTGAAATAGGAAACTATATTCCAACTTATGAAAAGAAATCGGATAAGCACAATTTGCTGTTTTACCAAAGAATGCCAAGTAAATTCAGCAGTAACATTATAAATTCCTACCCAGAAGCCAGTGAATAAAGTGTTTCTGTGCAAAGCGCCTTGCACGTACCTGGGGTGTAGCCCTTCCTTTCAATTTTGGCACTTAAGGATATTGGGCCTGAGGTACAGAACCAGCAACAGAGCGTCTTTTCTTTTGTGCCTGCTTGGGGTGACTGTAAGAAACAAATTTAGAAAAAAAGATCAATGTATGAATTGGTACAATGTCAGAATATTTAAAAATACAATCTTAAATTCTTGGAAAATTTAAAATTAAAAGAGGTGTGGCTTTTTTCTGTATCCAAATATACTTTTAAAAAGAAAAAACTAACAAGTGGCTTCTGAATATCATTATTTTTATCTTTATATAAAGTTCCATTCAATTAAAGAAAAAAGGATAAGGATTTAGTACCCTATCCCATAAGTTTTTTAGTCCACACTATTTACAAATACAATAATTAAAAACCAACCAACCAAACCAAAAAAACAAAAAAACCCTTTCCACATTCCATTTAAACTACCTTAAAAAAGGCAGCACAGAAAGCAATTTGGTTATAATTCCAAATGTTAACATCTTTTTTGTGAAAATGTAAAAATAAGTATTAAAAAGGAAAACTATATACTTTAGGATTAATTCTTATTTGCTTTAAAGATGTTATCATTTGTTCAAACCAAATAAACTTTTTGATGTCAAATTTGAATTATTCTTATAAAAAATTGCAATTAAAAAAAAGATTCCTTTTAAAAAGAATTAAATTTTTTCATTAAATAATGATTCCCCATTATTTGACAACTATCCCTATTTTGGAATAATGAAATGCAGTAGCAATTTTAGATTATGATATTTTCAAATAAGTAGTATTCTCTTATAAAAAATGATACTAGTGTTCTTCTTCCACTCAAATCATCCAGGGACAGATCTGCTTTTTGTTATTGCTGTCATGTTGAGTAAGATATTTTATACCATATGCTGGTCTTACTTTTAAACTTATATAAAGTTACTACAGTATCAAAAATATGAGCATATCTTTCATTAACTTGTGTGTTCTTTCTTTACTGTACTTATAAAATATATATCTCTACGGAATTTAAAAATAAAACCACTACTTTAAAATTATGACCATGGTGTAGCTTAGGTGCTTATTCTTTAGTATTTGTATGTCAAAAACAGTGAAGAATTCAGTCAATTCTTACCAGTAATGAAGGAGTGTTGATATCTATATGCTCAAAGACTGTAAATTCCTTCTTTAATTTTACTGGTAGAAGCCAAGGCCTGTGCAACTCGGCTTTCACCCAATAGCGCACACTGCCATGTCGGCCTTCGAATGAGGTAGCAAGTGGTCTGTGCAGAATAAAGATTAATATATTAATTTTATACCTCTTTCTAAGAGTTACACAGTAGGTCAGAATAGATGTGTTAATATATTGTACTATTTCTGGACCAACGAGGTATCAGACATATAATTAAAAAAATTTCCAAAGGGATAAGTCATTGGGGAAAAAAAAACCTATTTCTAAACAACAATAGTTAAAATGCCTTAAAATGTTTGCTTTAAAAAGCCAGAAGAAGACAATCCCTTTAAACTAAGAAGAGGCTACTTTTAATGCTGGTGGCAAAATTATGAAAGTTTAATGAACAATTCTTGAAAGAGTCAAGAATTTAATTTAAAAATAAAGATATGTTTTAACTATTACTATTGAGAAATTCTAGACACTGGTTAAACACTCAGATCAAATTCCCTATAGCACTCCATTCTCATTAACTAGGAATTATTACCTCTTTTTATAGCAACTAATTAAGGTCTAGAAAAGGCCTAGAATAGTCATTATAGTTTCAAAAATTTCACATTTCATGAAGTCCAATGAAACTCTGAAAACCTGCTTTTACATTTCCCAGTTTATTCAAGCTCCAAGTCTGTTTTTGCTACTTCCTAACTTTATAGTCTTAAAAAAAAAAAAAAAAAAATATCCCTCTTGACCTTTATGTCAAGAGAATCAACTGTTTTTGAACTCTCTCTGGTTTTACTTGTGGAAGGTTTTATTTTAGTGTGTTTAGTCTGCTTTTCATAATTTCATTAGAAAAGTATCACTGTTCAGTTACAAGGAAGAGCGCTAGCTAAACTAGTGCAGGAAGCACTGGTGTTTTTCTAAATTTTTTTTTTGCATTGTAGACTCCTATATTAACTTGTATAGTGAAAAATAAAATCTTAAACTTTTATGCTGATAGTCTTTCTAGGGGTTGTAGATGACTGTGGTTTACATATAAAACTCAAAAAATATGAAATTACCACATAAACGTTCAGGCCCAATATTGGCCTTATTCTATTCACAGACTTGATATTTTTCTCAGAAAGTGGATTAAGGCATTATATTCAAAATGAGGCTCTCAATTATCATGGTAAATAGAATATTCTGAAAAATACCATTTATGACCTCCAGTATGTATACACATCTCAAGTACTAGTATTAACAAAACAAATACAGACTTATGTACATCTGGCACTTGATAAATTCTTACGTAATCTAAGTTTATCCTCCAGAACAATCAGTACAAGTGCCATTTGTAGGCTGTGGTATTTGTTAAAAGCATCATTTTAGAAAAAGTCTGTGTGATCTCCCTTGTCAATCTGTTACAGCCTTAGGAATCTTCCTTCCTCCCTCTGGTCACAGGGACCCCAGGCTTTACGTGGCTCCACTAATGGACGTCCCTCAAGTCTGGACCCCAGGAGCTCTTGGCACAGAAGTGGTTCAGGTCGTACCAGAACATCCCTTCTAAAGTTAGGATATTCCTAAGTACTTTTACTTCTTAATTGACTGCTAGTGGTCAGCATTAGCAGAAAAGGTAGAACCAGAATTTACAAACTCAGACTTCTGAGACTTGGTAAGTTCCATCTTTTCTGTAGTGATACCTGCTAACAAACTAAATATTTACAAGTGGTTACTATTTGATAGCACCTTCCAATTCACTTATTTTAATTAAACATTGTCTTTTAAAAATCTCATAAACTTGGACAGAATACTATGAATTGAGCTTGCTTTCTGCAATTTTGCCACGCTAGATTGAAAAATAGCTTCTTATGTTTAATATATTGTTTTCCTCCAGCAAGTTGCAGTAATGAAAAGGGTTTTTTTTTTGAACTAAAAATGTTTCGATTTAGAATATTTTAAAAGAACGCTTTGATCACGAGTATCTATGACAAATGCCATTACGTACAACACTTACGTCTGTGGAAGCTCGAAGCTGAATGCATATTCATGCCTTCCTGAATGAATAGTGTTGAAGCCTTCTTCGGAATTATCATCATCTAGAACAAACAGAAAAGCAAACAAAAGGCCTGTTATTAGACATTTGCACACTCCTCTTGGTGGCACAACTTTAAACATGCCTCTGCAATAAGTGGGACCACCAGCTTTGGAGTCAGAGACCTGAGTTTTCTTTCTAACGTCATCAGCTCCTCTGGATAAAATAAAAATCCCGGGCTCCAGCTGCCTCACCTGTGAAATGGGGACCATCCACACTCACACTCCACAGCCTTTTTTTCTCCAGTGGAAAAGGACCCAAACTGTAAAGCCTCTGGGTCCACTCAACAGTGCACAGGCAACAAGAGATTCAGGTCTCAGGTCACACTAAGATAATGCTATCTTTGTCTCCAACTGTTGACTTAAATGTATATCCCATTAAGGCTCTAACGTGATGAAACGAAAACAAGCGGCTCCTGAGGACCTTTTAAAACATGGGGGGTGGCGGGGGCCGACACCGACGATGGGACTACCCCACCAGGGAACTCTATGAACACACACACTTTTCTTATGTGAGCTGCACAGCCAAAAACACTTCTTTGTTAGCCTAGCATGACCCCACTGCTCTGGGTCCCAGCAACAACTAACCTCCCCAAAAGGCAACAGCCTTGCCCCAATCCCTGAAGAAATGAAGGCTGAGTGGGGGGGGGCTGCTCCCAGCGGCTGGACAGACGGGGGAGCTTTTCCATTTGCCTCTTTGGCCAAGTGCATGATTGTTACAAGGGGCGTGAAAATAAAGGTGGAAAATTGGGGGGGGGGCGCAGGTGATGGCAGCGACCCTACCCCCTTTCTCTTTAACACGGTCGCACCAAGGTCTCTGCTGTAGCCTCAGAAACCTTCACGGCGGGCCCGAGTAGGAAAACCCGCCTCTGTTATTTAACTTTCCCTCCCCAAAGTATAGAATATACACAAAAAGCGAGATGCTTCCCCTGTTATCAGAGAAAAAGGGGGGAAACAGCATCTCCAAGTCGGTTACTTTTATTTAAAAAAAACAAAAACAAAAAAAAACCG